CGACGAGTGTTCAGCCCACTCTTTCATCTAACTCAAAGGAGAGTCGAGTGACCGTTCGAGAATACGCCCGCTAGAAGGGCCGCTCGTTCATTTTCGTCGAACGGCTGCGGAACGAGACACGCGGTTTGCACGATTTATTTCAGGCGAGAGAGAACGCTTCGTTCGCGAGAAACAGATTTCAGACGATGGAGAGAGATTCAGCAGCAGTATATATCGACATACCGGCTCATCTTTCTGAATCTTATCGACGAAAAGAAGTAGAGTAATCGACTCGCACAGTTCTCTCTCTCTCTCTCTCTTTCTCTCTTTCAGTGTCTGCTGGCGAGTTCTCGATGAACGTGGGCGTCCGTCCCGCCGACTACGCTTTCCGATCCCGGAGGAAGCCCTCGGCGCGCGCGTTACCTGATTGGCGGCGAATGCTCTCGCGACGAGTCTCGCGGATTCGCTCATTCACTTGCTTGCAGCGATTGCAGCTCGAGACGCAGGACGAGCGTGACGGTCAGGTTAACGGATGATGACAGAAAATGTCGGCAGGAACGAAGTCACAAGAGCTCGTATTGACGCAGGTGCATCCGTTGGATAATATCCCGGCAATCGTTGAACACTCTTTTGATATTCTCCGTGTCAACGGCGCACGTAAAGTGCGGATAACAATAGTGCTTGCCGTCACCGCTCGCCGTACTTATGCGCTAGAAAAACAAGTAACATCTTGAAACGTCCCGAATACCATGGTCGCAAACTAAATGTCACGAAACTATCGAAACTCTGGTGCCCATATTACTTTATACTTACGAGAAACTCATCTCTGATAAAGTACTTGGCCCTTATGACGTCAGGCGGTTCCGAGGGATCTGCGACCACCCCGGGTTCGACTGGTGTTTGATAACGCGCGAATTCCGGAAAGTAATCTTCGAGTTTGTGCTTCCCCGCTTTGACTTTTTCCGCTAAGAGATCTTGCTTGTTTAGAAACAGGATCACAGAAATCGTGCGAAGCCATCTGTAAAAAAAAAGAAAAAAAAAAATGTCGCCGTGAATGAATATTGACTCATCACAATTTTTAAGGATGGAAATCGAAATTTGCATACCGATTGTTCCAGATACTTTTGAAAAGGTCGAGACTCTCTCTGAGTCTCAGTTTTGTAGGATCTTCCCTGAGTACCATATTGTAACTACTACACGCCGTGACAAATATAATCGCCGTAACGTCATTAAAACATTGTATCCATTTTCTTCTCTCATCGCGCTGGCCTCCAACGTCGAACATACTGTAAGGAAAGAACGAGAATACTCAATAAAATAGTCAACTGCAATATCGCGTTTAATGGTCCACATTCTCATCGTCATCCCTCCCTCGTTTAGAAAAAAAAAATTACGTATTTAAAGAAATAATACTATATGAATATATTATTGAATTTCTCTTGACTCTTTAGATCTTTGAATCATCAAACCTCTAGAGATGATTATTTGAAATTGATAACATATGGATTTTTTTAACGAAAAATATTATAGCGTTTAAAGCCATCGGTAGACAGATTTCTCGAGTGTTTGTTGGAGAAGCGTCGGATTCGTATACCCCGTGAAATGTCTACACGAGTACAGAAGGCGAAGCGACAAAGAGATAGTGGGCCTATAGAGAATAATGTGGAGCGCCGTACGTGACCTGCCTGCGAGTGAACGCAAAAAGGGAAAATGTTACAAAGTTGCGGAGGCGTTAACGCGGTTAACGGATTTCAGCTTACACGTTATAACAGTGTAAGTCTTGCCGGCACCGGGCGTAACAATACACAGGCAGAGGAGGCTAGGCTAAGATGCCGACGCCGCCGCCGCCACCGCCATCGCCACCGCCACCACCGCCACCGCCGCCGCAGCTTTGCGTTTATATTTACCGTCGGCCGATGTTACTGTAATATGTCGGCTATATATAGTCACACGACATTGGAGCAAAGCGTGTCGCACTAGGACTTACTGAAAGTTCACTTTGTCGACCTGAAACCGCGTCTCAAAGATGCCAGACGTGAGAACTCGACACCTCAGAATGTCCTGAAACAGAACGCGGTATGTTAGCATGCGGTGTATCCTTTGTCGGGTGTCAAAGGAACGAATCGAAAAACGGAGTAATTTTCGGAATATTTTTAATTTTCTACGCTACAGATAAGCGGCGGAAAGATCTTTGAAAGATTTCCTTCACACAGCAAATACACCGGTGTCCGACACTTAGATTTATATGAAAGGAAAACTATGTGATAATTACCTGTTCCGTGGGCGTGTAATCCGGCTGTTTTACGATGGCTACCTTATCTAGAAAACTGAAACAGAAGGAAACAATAAAAATTAGTAAATAATTTCTAGTGGTAATTTCTTTAATTATTCGCGGTTTATTCAATGTTTTTTTTTTCTCTCTCTCATTTTTTTTTTTTTTTTTTTTTTTTTTTTTTTTTTTTTTTTAATTTTTTCTTTATTGTTAAGAAAAATTATCTTTCTCGCGCATGTATATATCTTTTTAAGATATTTATATTCTAACAATAACTATGTGCCATTGCGTCTGTAATATTCTATGAATATTTCGTGCCGCATAAAGGGACAAAGAACGTACATATATTCAATACGCGTTTTATAAGCTATTATCAATATGAGAATAAATCATTGCAAAATTTTATTTCTATTTTTTCGGAAAAATATCCACTTTAATTTTACAAAATATATACGTCATGGTCTTGTACAATTCAATTTTTAGTTTCGAAAATCTCGAGGCAGAACATTATTTGCATTATGCATAAAAAATACCGGTGAATCTTTTTCTCAGATTATTATTTCCTGATAAATATCTTAATCCATCAAACGCGGTGTGTTAATCTACAAATGAAAAGAATGTAAAATATATATATCGAATATTCGACGACACAATCAAACGAATTCGTCAAAATCATGTTGAACTAGTTTCGATCGATGCGGGGCATCCGCGATAACAATCATTGTCAATCAACCGCATCGTTATCGTGAGAGCCACTCCACGCGTCCGTATATGGTCGAAACATGTCTGTTTTATGTGATGTAGATGCGGATCAAGTTTTCGACGACGGGATTCCAGTTCCATATTCTCGAACATAAATAATCGCTCTAATTGTAAGAAACCTTGCACAGTGCTTATTAAACCGCAAGGCTTATTTTGAAAAAAGATACGTCGATAATTTTTATTAAGATAATCGCGTCGAGCTGTATTTTATCGAGATCCAGTTTAAGTTACGTCATGCTGAAGAAAACTTACATCATAAAAAAATACGGATCAAAACTATCGAAACACATCGAGGCAAGACGATCGTCATGGCATTTTTCTTCGCGAATGTATTATGAAAATTTATTTTTATCAATTTTTTGCAAAGTATATGTAAAATATACATATGATATTTGTCGCTTTTTACACACGCTTCGATACATACATACCGGGAATTCCTTTGAAAAAACATTCGTACATCTTCAAAATCAGAAGGTATATGAGAAAAAGGTGCAAATCTAAAACTAATTTGATAATAAATCTATTTGTTTCTATATTACTTTTTCTCCCAATTATTTGAATTCCATCTCGATATATTTCTTAGATATATAATTTCAAAATTCGATATCGAATATAATAAAACGGAACATCACAAGAAAATTATACTGAATTTAAAAAATTATAATCATATCTGTGCGAATAATTAGCACTCATCAATCGCAATTGAGTAATCCGAATAGGAAAATTTTAACGCGTTCGCGCTTTTAATCTCTTTGAGCGTCAACTGTGGAGTTCATTTAGAATTTTTACCGTCCGCTTTTAGGGATGAGACGTATAATAGCAGCGGCAAAAAGGGCGCTCTTCGAGAAGTGTGTTTGAAGTGTATAAAGTACTACTCTCCACCAATCTTTTTTTTTGTCTTTGATGATTATCGTTTCGTTTAAAAGAATAATTCGCGATCTGTATCATTGAAAACCAACAGCGGAACGCAAGACCTATTTCCACGTGAATAATAAAGCATATTATTAAGTAACGTTGAATGATATTGTTATATTTATTCGCGAGGATATCATCGCATTATAGCAACCACAGACATATATATTTATATATATATATAGGCCGCATATACATATTCTTATACGCGCGGTGTAGAACAGTGGGATAATAATAAACCATCGTTATTCGTATCGATCTTACGATTATCGCTCGCGGTGTATGATATTCATCAGATTATATAATTATATCGGCTATACGATACCACATTACATTATATACGTATCTCCGACTCGCTGGAATAGAACTGCGGAGGATAATAATAAACCGTATTATCACATTTGCATCGATTTCCCGTCCGTGTCGCGATAGTGTACCGGCTATCGATAGTGTATCTCGTTATATCCCTTCGTATAACCGAAATTGCCGAAATTATTTTCGTAACACATTTATTGACTATCCGATTCTTTGAGACGGGAGAGAGCAAGAATGTGTGTGTATGTGTGTCTATCTGTGTGTAGTTTTATCGATACAGAAAAGAGAAGGAAAAGCGCGCGTCCACATACGCGAATCATCGGGTAGCCGTTTTTAGCGTTATCAGAGGTCGGTCGTTCGGGCCTTTTGGACAGAGTGTCAACCTTCCTCTTTCGATCGAACTGGCGTTCCTAGGTCGGCTGGGCTTGAATTAGTTGCTCGCTCGCTCGCTCTATCTCTCTCTTTCTCTCTCTCAGTCACCTCTTCCTTAGCGACATTACTGCTTCAAAGAAGTCTCCGACCGAGACACCGTAGAATATGCCGCAAGATTCTACAGAAAGCGCGTCGACGATAACGCGTACGTCGTAACGGAGAACGGAAGCGGATGCTGAAAAAGGGTGGAATATCGAGAGCGCTCAGGGAGCCCTTCCTCTCCCCCTCTCGCTCCCTCTCTCTTGCCATTTCGTGTCCTGGTGTTCCTGTTCGCTCTCACCCTCCCACTCTCTCTCTCTCTCTCTCTCTGTCTCTTTCCCCCGTGTGTCTCCATCTCTATTACCCTTCCGGAGAGAACACTTATACATACGCGCTAGCGCACACATATATACACATATCTGATTCTCTTTGCCTTTCTCTCATACTCGCTCTCATTCACTCGCGCACGCTCTTCTCTCTATACCGGGATCCTCTCCCTTCGATCCGCCCTCCCTTCCTACGCGCCGAGGGTGGAGGGTGCCCACCAAGTGGGAAAATCGATCCTCGGCGATGTCCTACCCTAACCCCAACCCCTCGGCCTCACTGGGTGTGCATACACGCCCCTCTGGCACCCACTTTCCGATCCGGGTCATGGGTCACTGCCACCGCTCGCTTTGCGCTCGCCGTCAATCTGTGAGGGTTTAACACCGCGTGCACGCTATTATAGCGCGAAAAACGCTAGAAAACACGTCCCTTTTTACGAGATAATTAAAGATGTCTGTATATCAAATAAAGGAGAGGAGAAGAAAATCGCATAGGATGATATAGATGCTAATTGAAAGCACTATGACTACAAAACTCTAATCGTGCAGATATACTTATGTGTATAACAGTCTTTTTCCCATGAACATAGTTCTAAAAGTCTGAAATTACACTCATACATTAATCACGAAACTCATTATCCTTTCAAAATAAGTTTTTTTTTTTTTACACGTACAAAAGCGTCAAATATTTTTGTGTAAAAATATGTGTAGAAATATTTTCGCAAGCCTTATAGAGCACATTATTATATGAAAAGCCATCGAATGCTATACAACTGCTTCGCTATTTATAGGAAAGATAAGCCGAGTTCAAATAGCGCTCGCGATATAAAAAAGAAAAAAAAAGATCCGCGTGTACATACATACATATATGTATATATGTGTGCGTATGTGTGAACGGCGTATAGGCTCGCGAGAAGGTAGGTCATGGAATTGGCGCGCTCCGACAAAATTGAGGTTATCGACCTCCAGAGAATTGAAAGAGGAAGGAGGTCGTGACCCACTGGCTCCGCTGCTGCAGAACGATTTTCTCGTTATCGCGCCCGTGTTAACCCTCCGCCGAGACCTTGAGATGCGCAAATGTGACAACGTGTTTGTCCGACAGCGCGAATCGTGCTCTAACCGTTCGTATAAAGTAATGTTGAAATTTAATCTCGGGATCTTGACATATGGAATTATTCCTTTCGCCAAGATAAACAATTGTGTACAAATTTTTTTATATTAAATGGATTATTTATATAATTATTATATTAATCTCAACTAATGTGATAAAATATCAATATCGATGCATAAATTTATATGCGTTTCTTTCGAGAGATCTTGAAACCTCTAATTACCAAATAAAACATAATTTACTTCTTCCATCAATGATATATATATATATATTACTTCGCAATATCAATTGCAGTTCTTTTACATCAGAGATGTATGTAGTGTTCCGTATCAAGAAATGATCATAGGTATAAGAGAATTGATGCTCCTAATACTTTTGGAAATGTGATACAAAATCTAGCAAAAAAGATACGGAAAAAGCAAGCCGCACCGAGAAATGTCACGGAACCGTATCTGTTTTATTAGAGCATTGTGTATGTGTGTCACAGAAAAAAAAAAAAAGCTTGTAATGATATTTCAATTGAACCTTTTACATTTCCGTTGCGTTCATTTAATTATTTCCTGTCAGGTCTCCGTGTTTTCGTCCAACTTTGTCGTTGCGAAAGAGAAGGACAGAGAAAGAGAGAGAGAGAAAGAGAAGAGTTTTCCAGCGATCGACAAAACGCCGCGTTGAATTTTTCAACCGTTTCCGATTAAAGGTTAAACGCTCGACATTTGCTGGCGAGGATTTAATTCGCGACGACAAAACGGGAAAACGATGAGAAAGCCGAATCGTGGGCGATAATAACGTGTATCGGACTCGGATGGCGCGAGTCGAAGGCGCGTTTGATGTCCTCAGGCAGCAACAGCTATCTAAAGCCCCTCCGTGTTAAGTTCCGAATGTGTTATTGAATCTGGTGTACAATACCACTGTGTGCACATTTATATTCCAAGTGTTAATCTAAAAGGAACCGAGCACTCCGGATAATTATGAGGGGACTTTCCTGTTAATCTAGCGCCAGACTATGCGCGTATTCGCGATTCGTTTATAATTCGTGGACAATGTAGATGGAAGTAGATGGAAGATTCGTCAAATTCGACCGATCAGATTTCTTTATACCGTTCACGAATCGCGAATTACGAATCCCGAATTGTGAATGCGCGCATAGTCTGGCGCTAGCTTTAGAGGGAATAACTGACTGCCATTCTTTTTAATTTTTGATAGGAATGCTTGGTAACTGCCTTTCGATCGATTCTGAATACACTATTTGATTTATTTATATAGAATCAATATTAATTCTCCAAGTAAGTTTAATAATAATCGACTTCGTAACTAAGATTATTGATTGTGAGAGAAATCAGAGCGCTCTCTCTCTCTCTCTCTCTCTCTCTCTTTCTCGAATGACATTAACCACTGATTGTTCATCTAACTCCTCTTACCCTCTTGCTAATACGTATGTATGTATGTATGCAACTCTCGAGACACCCCGTATGCAGGACCGGTGGTCGGAAAGCGGGTAACGGTTTAACTACTAGATCTACATCAAACATGTAAATGTGCAGGGTTGACGTATACAATCAGTATACGGCTTATGCATTAAACCGCTCACGAATCCATCGCACTATTCGATGCAAGGAATATAGTTGCTCGCTTGAATCGATAATGTTATAACGAAATTTCCGAATCACCGGCAAGAAATCCCAGAATATATATATAATTTCTCAAAATCGCGATGTATGTCTCGTGAATCAAGGGGTAAAATACATACACGTCGATATCCGATAACGAAAGAAACTCAGATTTGTCCAGAGGGGACGTTTCGAGATTCTTGGATTCGAAAGAAAGAAAATTATAGACGATTACAGACGATTTTCACGATTTGTTGCTCGCCCGTTATACATTCTGACGGTTTGCAGATCACCACCGCGCGTGATTTCCTCCGCCGTGTAACAAATTGGAGCTCCTGTGCGACCATTCGCTCGAATCGCAAATATTTAACGAATCTGGCAGTTCCAGCCGCCTAACGTTGCCGACACGACGTGCGGCGGCTCTCAACGGCAAACATTAAACATTCTCTCTTTGTTTTACGTACTTTGGCCGATGCGAGAAACGAACTTTTCTCTTCTATTCAAACCAAGGAGAGAGTCTGATAATGTTGACTTTCGTCATTCGATTAAAAATGCTAATTTTCCATTTTCTTCACTTCTCTATCGGATTTTTCTCTCCGTGTTTCCTTTCGCGGATTCTTTGATCGATCGTCGCGAAAGGCACGCGTCGCACAAAAAAAATCCACTAAAGGATGAAAAATTCCTATCATTGCTAGCAATTCCTTCATTTTTATAATTATTATATTTTATATTTTTATAATTATTTTCCGAAAAAAAATCACGGGTCGCTCTATAATTGTCTGATAAATTATTATGATAGGTCGAGACACATTTAAACCATAGTTATATAGATGCAAAAAAAAAAACAAGGCGGAAATAAAATATTTTGATTGCGACAAATGATTAATATGGCAAATTTTATCCTTTATCTCTCCTTTCCATTGAATACAATGCATATTCCAAATTTTTTAAGTACAACATTTTGGCCGATCACAAAATATATGTTCCGTTAGGCAATTCCATCATTTTGAAGGTGTTTATTTATAGATAAGATAAAAAAGAGAAAAGAATCTCACTCCGTCGGCACAAAGCAACGTATCAACGGCGAGAGACGGAGAGAGAGAGAGAAGCGCGCACAAGAACGACTGTCTATCCAAACATTTAGCTGGCCGCGTATATAGCAGCATCAGTGTATAATCCACGCAATATAGACCCGTGTATCTAAATATAGCGACGCGTGTTTCCTTTTTTAAAACTCGTCGGGGTGTGTTATCGCTGTAATTGAAACGTCGCCCTTATTGCTATAAACGAGATCGAGACCTGGCCGGTTAAATACGGCAACGGCACGAAGCGGCGCGCCCGCCTGTCACAAGCACGGCATTACGCATCTTTCATCGAGTTTTTTTCCCGATTTCACGTGCGGCAGCGTAAATTCGCGATTACAACTCGCGCGTCGAACATTAATAAAGATCATCCAACCCGGAAATGATATTCACCGAATCAACAATCGATAATTACACGTTGTTATGCACGGTAATCGCGCGTGATAAACATTTATTTTCCACACGCTGACTCAGATTGGAAATATTTTCGAGATATAAGTCTCTCTCTGTTGTATTTAGTGCGCATAAGAAGATCACACTTCTTTTCTTTTCATTTTTTATTTTCTTTATATTATTATGTCACGCGCGCTTCTTTAAAGAGAATTCTTTTCGGCGAAAATAAAGCAAGTGACGATTGCTTGAAATTAAAGTAAAATTAAAAAGAGCGGCAGTGTCTTCCTATTATATAGTTTTTTTCGCCATGCAAAAATTCACAGAGGATTTGCACGATATCTCTGTTACAGATAGTCTGAAATAATTCGTGGATTCGCAAAGCTGTGCGAATCTCGGGATATAATGAAATTCGTGCGTTCGTCCTCTTTCCATAAATTACATTCGCGGATGTCGTGGATGTGTATCTTTGCAAAAGAAAGAGATAGAGATAAAGAGAGAGAGAGAGAGAGAGAGAGAGAGAGAGAGAGAGAGAGAGCGCGACTAAGCGCAGTCGCAGAAATGCGTCCGCAAAGTCCGTTATAATCATCTTGCATCTCTCTCGTCTACGAATATGCTGGGAGGCGCTATATCTCACCAGCGCCGGAGCGCTGCCTAAAAATACGACGCGCTATTTTTAACGTCAACGCGATTCCCATTGCACACGAGAGAGCACGGAAACCGCACCGCCGCGTCTCACACCGGTGCCGGTGGGAAGAAAAAAAAAAAAAAAAAAAAAAAAGAAAGAGGGAGAGGGAGAACACGCGGGAGAAATCCGCGATAATATGATTACGAGCGGCACGAAACATTGGCAGGAGAGAGAAAGGGAGAGAGAAAGAAAAACAGAAAAAAAGAAATAAAGAAAGAAAAACAGATAGTCTGAAATAATTCGTGGATTCGCAAAGCTGTGCGAATCTCGGGATATAATGAAATTCGTGCGTTCGTCCTCTTTCCATAAATTACATTCGCGGATGTCGTGGATGTGTATCTTTGCAAAAGAAAGAGATAGAGATAAAGAGAGAGAGAGAGAGAGAGAGAGAGAGAGAGAGAGAGAGAGTCCCGTTGTGGACGGGACAAATTTAGTCATATACCAAAGTTCAAGTGGAGAATTTTGCTCAAAAATATGTATATATATATACACATCCCTCCCTCCCTCTCTCCCACCCCTCCTCTCTCACCAACTGTTTACGTATTCTTTTTTGTGTGTGTATGTGTGTGCGCGCGCGCGCGTACCTGCGTGTGTATTTGTGTGTGTGGTGTGTAGCGCATTATTAAAAAATACAAAAGTCGTGTCGGAATTTTTCTGTTCGTCTCCGATTCTCGGAGCAATTGTTCGATTATAGTTTGTGATAATTTAAGTAAAATTTTCTTAAATATCTTTTTTATTTTTGATTAATTAAAAATTAATTAATTAAAATTATATCAATAAAAATCAGCACAATGCTTTTACGATGATGTTATGCGATTCTACAAAAACTTATTCCCAAATATATACGATATGCTGTCAAATTGACGTCAAATTGTCTGATAACCTGGTGTGAAATGCAGTCACATGCCGGTTGTTGGCTAAAGTCGCCGTTTACGCCGAAGATTTACGCCTTTTTTCCTTATGCGTACATAAAAAATGTGATCTGGTTCAATATAATCCTCGCCTCGTTTAACATACCAACTATTGCATTCGATCGACTATTGTTCATTCCTCGAGTCGTCAGATATACGCTCGCAATCGTAATCTCATCGAATTACGTTTTACGTAACTAAATCAACGCTCGTATCATCGAATTAGCGTTAGAAAAAAAAAGCACGAGGTTGGGTCAATTCGTCGAGAGAACCCCGTGGATAAACGAGTGGCCCCTATTAAAGCGATTACCTCGTTAAGACATTGTCTCTATTGGCATTAAATCGGTGTCACAAGCCTATGAATATACACGCGCGTATCACGTATACATATATGTATTTCGAACGCGCGAACGACTTTTCGAAACTTTGTTTTCATGTCTAAGAATAAAACTCTAAAAAGCCATAAGTGACAAAAGGGAGTTTCTCGGAAACTATAAACGGGGGCACAATGTTTTCAACGATGAAAGTCATGGCCTCTGTGTATATTCTAAAAGTTTACTCAATTTTTAAATATTTTATAATAAACTCTCGAGTATGTTTTTTATTCATTTCTGACATAAACGAGGAGTATCATATTGTAAAAAAATCAATGAAAGAGATGACACAACACTGACAATTAAAATAAATATACTCATGCAAAAAAAATTTTCTATTTATATTTAAAAAATATGTACGCGTTTGAATATATTATTCACTGATAGCAAAGTAAAAAAATTATGTCCGTTAAACAAAATTTGTTTGAATAAAAAGAAAGACATGGCAAGCGCAATGTCGACAGATCCGATGCATGTTAACGTTATCGGCATGTAAACGTTACCTTACAAATTTCTTATCATATATCTATAATACATACACACAATTATAAATATAATATATCATTTCTGAGCAGATTACAATAAGTGCCTCGCATTCTTCGCGTACAGAAAGATCCATCAATCGAACCAATCGATCCAGCAAGTCAATTGATATCGCGAAAAGCGCGTATTAAATATCATATCAAGAATATTTATTTATTATCTAGACTTATGTTTATTTCGCGAGAGATCGTTAGGGGAGTATACGTATGTTTACATGGAAAATATGGCACAACATCAACACGGTCCATTGAGCGAGCCGGTTGTGCTATTTTAAATTCCTCGCGACTTAATTTCGGACGTGACTTCAAACTCTAACAAAAATTTATAACATATAATGACTTACTATTTGGCGCAGTCAATGAGTTGATACTCGTTACTCCTCTCGAAGCTCTGCTGAACGCCCCGATCTCTCCAAAGAGTTTCGACGATTTCGTAGAATTCCTGAAAGAACAATAGAACAATATCGGTGGGACGATTAGATTCGGTTAACGCTTCTGCAAATCTTTCGACGAAAAAGATCTAATTTAAAGGTAAAGTCTCGTAAAGACGAAAGATTGTTTTTAGAGCTCACATTTATTGGATATATTTCTTTTCTTTCCATGTGAAAAGCTGCCAAGAGAGAGAGAGAGAGAGAGGAGATTTTAATATCAGCAATACAATTGCTTTCTTTGTTTACCTGCGACCTTGTTTGTATTCGCGATACGTTTGGCGGCTTGACACAGAAAAGAAAGATAAATATATCCGAAAAGTGTGTGCTCTAAAACAATTTTACCTAATGACACATTTTCTTATATCATGAATATCTGAAAATGTTCATTTGACACACGTCTTCTGTATATAAGAGAGACGCGAATCAGTCTCTTAATATTATAATCTTATAATGCTATAATAAGTTTGTCTTTTTTTTTTTTAATTTTGTCGTAAATCGCACGTATAAACAATCCTTTCGGCATTCTTCTCATATTACTCATTCTGAAATACATGATCACGTTTCGAGCGAAAGGAGCGCAGCATATAATAAACTATTATGAATGTTTCCGGTGCCGTACGGGCCTAGATCGTCGAGGATAAGAATACATCTCGTAAATCTAAAGTTTCGGAATTCCGTGCAGGTATGCAACGGGTGAGCAACCCGCGAACGCAATTCCTATATACGACGTGAAGTGACCCTGCTGACGAATCGAACGGCGCGAACCCCCGCGATACACGACCTATTCGCGTATATTTATAGTACATTTATCGCCGTCTTTATTGCACACCCGATCGCCGGGCTGTTGTAATGTTTGACGTTTAATTCGTCGTTTAACTCGCGAAAAACGCGCCGCTCGCTCGAAATTCGCGACATTGAAGAATGAAGCTAAACACACGCGAAGTGTACGTCGCAGATGTTGCTGTGAATATCTTCGCGAAGGTTTTTGCGAGTTTTCGTCAAGTGATTTATTGACAAAAATTGATATAAAAATAAATAAAATGATCGACGTCTTGTCCACTGATTCTATTCCTCTTTTTTTAGAACGCGATACCCAGAATTCATTATGCATTTTATATTACGATTTACATCCCGCCATTGCGTAAAACTATTGCCATAGAGACATCTAAAAGTGAATTATAATCGTGATTTGAATTTTTTACATAAATAACGATGGCCGTACAAGGCTACGCGCTTCGCATTATTGGCGAAAAATGTCGGGCCCATTAATAATTTAGATGTTATTGTGACGGAAAACTTGGTTTTCTCGACGTGCGTGGGCGATTACGCAGTAGGTTGACGCTTTGGTCGTGGAGTTTCCGTTCATGGTATCAAAAGTCATATTTAAAAATAATAGAGTGAAACGGCGATTCTCGTCCCGATACAAACGACCATGAGAATATGTTCGTGATCGAAAGTTGAAAATCGCACACATTATATTTAAAATAATTTAATTAGGGATATAATAAAGTTTTGAGTTAGCGCGAATTTCTGATATAAATATACAATATAAATATGTAACATAAGCACAAATGTACAATATAATATTAATATTAATATTATCTCGGATACAATATTAATAAATATTATTTTAAAATTTTCTAATTGGTGTAGTAAATAAGTAAATTATGCGTAAACACTGTATTAATAGCAGCTCTATTTTATAGTTAAGAATTTCATCGTGATCAGCGATGCGTTCTTGTAAGCGGTGCGAATTAAAACTTGTCGAGTAATCGCGGTGCAAGCATGCCCATCCGCATGCATAAATCAATGTCGAAACAACGCGCGTAAAGTATTATTAATTATTTGAACCTCGCGCAGCTGCATCACGCTTCTATCGCGCGATGATATTTCTGGCGAAATACAAATGTACACGAATTGCAAAACAGAGAGAAGTTTATAATATAACCGCCCGTATCTCTAAAAATTTTTCCTCACAGCCGAAATTTTCTCTCGGAGATAAAAATTATTAATTTGAATAATTGTTAATAAAAATCGTTTCGAGATTCGAAATAAACATCGATTCTGATGAAATTATTTTACACAAAATATCGAATAAATTTTATGTCGGTTGTTATACGATGACGATATAATAATAATCAATTAGTGCAAGAAAAAAAATTTCTCTCCACTAATATATGTTTGTTTACGAATTAACGACACTATTGTACTACGTATCGGTTCGTGGATCGGTCGCAGAGCGAAGGCGAGAAAGATAGTTTTCCCGAAAGACTTGTCCCCGAAAGCCGCAACGGGATTCAGCGTGAATTGGCAAGCGTTGTAGAACCTACACTCTCGTGCCCTTTCATCGCCCCACAAGTATCACGAACGAACTTTGATAGGGCATGATCGTCGCGACAGCAAAAGTCCATTCCGTATATCGAGAAAGCGTTGCCTTCGCGCGTTGCCTCTCGCAGGCTACGACAAATCGCCGCCGCGTCCGCTGCTTGGCAATAAACGACACACGACGGTTATATTAATAAATTCTCCTGTCGATGCTATTTCCACGCTTCCAACGATCGATGGACATGGACGGACGCATCGTGTGTCGATCCGTCTCCGCGCCAAGGATCGCCGGACGCCTATTACCGCGATTATGCACGTACTAATAATTTCGTCCAAACGCGTCATCTCTCAACGTCTAACCCTAAACGCCATCGCACAAGGTATTTGAAGGTATGTAAATCGGTTAAAAATACAGAAGACACGTATAAGGCGTGTCCTTGCAAATTCGTATACAAGATAAAAGAGGGAAAGCGACTCACGTTTTGAACGCGATTGGATTCCTTTTAGTTGATGCATCAACATTTATATAATTTTAGCATTTATTATCGAACATTCTCAAGTCGTGGAGAAATTCTTTACATGAAATGATATAATACGGTTGCATTAATTTCTGTTGCCCTCGTAAAAATACCGTTCCAGGTGAATTATTTAACATTTCGAATACTGGCATTAACGGTTTCATAATTCGTCTCGTTACAATGTTTTCGCATCATTTCGATTATTCGCGAGTTAACATACGCCGATTACATCCATCGCACGAGTCAAGTATCGCGAAATATCGGTGTGTCTCGCATTTGTATACCAAAATTTAGGCCTAGAATTTTCCCAAAATAAACTTCCGCATCCACGGGCGAGCACTCTCGCCTGCCCCTTTTCCCCTTTTCGTATCTCGCGTATACATACATATGTACAGAACCGGATGACAGTGATAAATTAAACGCGAATCGTGGAAGGCGTCGGCAGAAATTCGCGGAAAGTACTCTGGATATTGCTTTGTCTCCCGATCGGCGAAAATAGCGCCGGTGATTTGCCAAGTACATACAACATTCGCAACAAGAGAGTGCGAGTGTGTGTGCTTATTTATTTATTTATAATCGATACGATAAACAGCAGAAACCTCTCGATACACGATATACCGCTCGTTCTATTTTCTCTACGTAATAAATTCCCGATATAATTGAATAGCTCGATGTAACAGCTCTTATCTTAAGAGAACTCGGGGGAGACGATTAATTCAACTGAAATTTTCTCAAATTAAATATTAATTTCCATCAATTCTGGGAAAAGTGAATTAGATTATTACGCGAGGTCATCCGATACCTTCATGATATCGTTCAAATTTCCAACACTGACGAAAACTCTCGTTTTAACGGTTCGTTACGAGCGTGATATCTTAGCGGATAATCGTAAATATTGCGCGAATCATGAGAGGAAACGCGACGCAAGATTGACGTTTGACGTTTCGAAACGATTTAGTTCAATTAATCCGGATACGCATCATCGAATCGGACGGCAAACGCGCCACGTGCGACAAATAATGGCCGATATATAAAAGTGTACTATACGTATACATGTGTGTGTGTGTGTGTGTGTGTGTGCGTACGTCGCGTTGAATGACGCAAAACGCGCAGATTATTTCGTCGCGCGACAACTTTATTTCGAGAGCTGCCGCGTCACCTTTCGAGTCTGTTTAGCGCTTCCTGTCTCGGTTCTCTGCGACATCTCCCGCAAGCCGAAAGCTAATTGTCAGGGCTATCCCGAAATAGCCCTTTAAAACCGAGAACCTTAAAGCATCATGAAGGCAGCAAATTCTGACGAACCTCATTAATAGTGTAATTCAAATATTAACTTGACTAATCACGATTCAATTAATGACTAATTAATTAGATCCATTAATTTCATAGCTATTTTTCATTCGATTAGTTTTAAAAATATCACATAATACACATACACACACACAAGCATACTTTTTTTTCCATTGATTTTTCAATAGCTAATAGAATCGTTTTTTATCAAAATTCAAACAATAAAATTCTTTAGACGAGGGAAAAGGATCGATCTATGTAAATTCCTGTTACATATGTAGTACGAACGAGTATAATAATCGCATGAATTTGCGAGAGACATAATCGGGCGACATCGTGTATACGTACGTACGTACGTACATATACATGCGTGAGAAATGGCGCAGCACATTGTAGAGTACAGGACACTATATAGCGCACTAACATGTGCGGTGGCTGTGTAAACATTGTAAACACTGATCGTGCCACGCGCAGTGGTTCTCACTGTTGACAATGAGAGATCGCGCTTACGTGCATGTATCTCTGTGCGTATACGCGTCTGCGTGCCGTGCATTAAGTTAATCCGCAGAGATGCGCCCGTCCGGTTTAACGAGACGCGAAGAAATGTCGGGATGATCGTTAAGTAAGTTTCGCCGCCGTCACCCGTTACGCCAGAAGCGTATCGCCGTTATACGCGGCCTGTATACGCGTTAAACGATATCGAGTAATCGCGAGGAGTTGGCTCAAGTGTTCTGGGACGCGTGACGTTAACGTGTATAATAACGTGATGCGAAAAAAACTATCTATTATATCATACGGATATTATATTATTAAAATAATTTGCTATTTTATTTTGGATATATTAATATACGCGGGTTATTGAAGCTACTAATTTCTCAAATGATTGAATTATTATTGGATCGCCAAAATCGTTTTTTTAGCATGCGATGCGCTAATTTAAACTTCGCGATACATTTATGGATTCTTATTCGCACATAAGCAGGATTCTGCAATTTAGAAGCAAATGGTGTGTGAACCAAGGGAATCGAAAGAGTAAAAGTAAATAATAAAATGAAATGAAATTAATTTCCGCGGAAATTAAGGCAAAGATATGTAACAAACAATTAATTATAGAGCGCGCGTACGGATATAAATGCAGCTTTTTAATCAAAATAGCGAGAAATAATTTAAATGCCACAAAAACTGAAATATTAAGTATATATAAATCGGGCTAAACGTTGCATGGGCAAAACTCGCGAAGGAAAAAGCCGCAATTATCACGTTCTTTTTTTCATCTCGACTCGATTGCACGCGCGAAATTCAGACGCTCTATTCTCTATTCAGAAAGCAACTCGTGATGCAACGTGTCCGGAGGCGATTGTCCCGAGGACTCCTTCTGTCTTTTGCGCGGGAAGGTCGATGAGTTATTGCGAGCGCGAAGGTGAAGCTCGTTTCGTTTTGCGGCGTGTAACGCAAACAAGACGAAGAGACTAGACTCACCGAAGGATAATCGAAGTCTGGGGAAGACGAGACTTCTAGGATATAATCCATTCTGCTCTGGTTCGACGGATCCTCCAGCGAAACAGGCGGCGTTAACGTGCTCATCGCAGTGGTTATCGTCTGCAAAAGAAACGACGTACCTCTTTTATCATGATGACACACGCTAGAATGTCAATCATTTTTTCATCAAAAAAATTTTTCCTCTATATTTAAATCATATAATTTTAATCGTACAATTGAATAAAATAACGATGTACTTCAACAAAGATATAAAAATGTACATCTTTTCGTAAAGATATATCTCTGATACTCTCGGGCGGAGAGATCGTCTTTATTTTTTTATCACGATCGCCAGTTCGTTCGTAATTGCTATCACGTTGTTAATTACTTCGTAGGAATTCCGTATGCAAGGAATAATTGGATGTGTAGCGTAATTTACGTTAATGTAGTACAGGGTACGGAAGTGACTGCATTTTGCATAGAGGTTACACATAATCGCGCCCACAGTTAAATGCGTATTCGGATGACAAATCGGTGACAATACTCCTCCGACTCAATTTGATATCGCGAATTTGCGTGTCACGTAACGGTTACGTCGAGTCATTTCGAGCGCAACAATTTATACGTCTAAAGTAACTGGATACAGAAGCAAACGCGGAATTTGTAATGTACAATCGGCGAAAAAATTCGACTGTATTCAGACGACTACATCGCCATGAAAAAAAAAAAAGCCGAAGAAAGATAAAAAAACCTGGTAAATTATATAATTTTCGACTAAATTTATTTTATCCAAAAATTACAACTATTGTCCTTTTTTTTTTAAATTTTATTTTTGAGTAATGGATATTAAATCTTTACGCAAAAGCATAAAATTTAATATACACTTACCAAGATGGCGTCCCTAATGTTCTTCTTAATGTCTTCGATCTTTTGTCGCTTCTCCCTGCGAACATGCGAACACGTCAGATATTAGTATCGTTAGAAACTCGGCGCCAATTCATTGTCGACCGCGTAATTAATGTGACGGGCAACGTTACGATTAACAATGAATTGGACAGACGCGTAGATCGAACAGCCGATCGGTAATAATGATCGAGTCACGTGCTGAATGAAAACGACAGCATAGTCGCGCGCGCGCGCGCGTGTGTGTATGTGTGTGTTCCTTTATCCGTATATTTTCAGAATAATTCGACAATTTTAGTACCAATCGAGCGGCTACTACCACGCGTGTTTAAAAGAACAACTTGAACTACTCACGGCCGATCGATAAACCCGTATTTCTGGATCATTCTGTTTTCAGCAGAGATTTCGCCGAAGAGATAAACCTTTTCTTGTCCGGGATATAAGAAAAATCCGGCATCCCGAGAAAAATCAAAAGCTCGTCGAGCGCCGTTGTATAATAAAAGAGTCGCGTCAGAGGTATTGATTGAGAAAGAAATCATCGCGAAATAAGAGACTTTCCGCTGCGTTATCAGCGTTTAAGGCGGACAAAATTTACGACATATGCGAGCCGAGCCGTTTGTTTACGTATCGTTTCCATCGTCTATCCAGTGGTAGTCGCTGATACTCGTGCATTTATAATAGTAACTCTAACAATAACATCTTATCTCGAGAATACAAAAATATGTCATTATTGTTCTTTTGTTTCTTGTTTTTTTTTTTTTTTTTATACAGAGAAAGAAACTTACATATTAAACAACGGATAGTTTCAACGGAATCTCGTTCATATATTTATTTTGTTCCTATGAATATCAGAGAGAACTCTTGGTACCAACATCCATACAGAAATACACGAAACACGACAATAAAGATGTACGTTTTACCATAAATTAACGAAATCGAGGAAATCAAGCAAAACAAAATATCCAACGGTCGTAACTATGAGACATTGCAAATTAACGGTCTAAAAAACAGCATAAATATCAGGTCTACCGGAAAGTTCTGTCCGTTTTTGGAATAAAACAAAATACAAATTTTTATTACCGTCAATAAACTTTATTAAATAATGTAATTGCCATTATTATTAATGATTTCTTGCCAGCGTGAGGGCAATTTGTATATCCCATTTTCGAGTGAGCTGCACCGGTTGTGAGATGAATCCATTCGCATTGAAAAAATAATCATGCTAATTACATATCATGCTATGTGTGCGTCGCGGTTCGACTTGACGCAACTCATCCTCGACGCTCGATTCAAATGGAGAAAAAACGAAAATCTCAAGGATTAACAAATGCTTGAAATCAATCGAATTCAGAAATATAATTTCGAACGCTGATGGCATATCCCGCGAATAATTTCGCATCTCCAAGACCGATGATCTCGAGATTCGATGATTAAATCCAAAAGTGAAAGGAACGGCCGGACGTGAAAATTGAATGAATGTTGAGCGCGTGCGCCAGCTTCGTGTTTCGCAAATAGCTGCGTGAGTACGATTGCATTCCGCTGACGCTTTAATTGTAATGCGAGCCTCGCGATGAAAAATCCCTCGGGGGAAACAAAGGAGCGATTACCGGCTTTTAATGGGTTAACGACACATCGCCGGATTGGAATGAACGGATGATGGGACCCCGAGCGACCTATCTACCGACCTACGCCGACGCGACCGATCGCGCGTGTGTTCGTCGCTTTTAAAAATAAAACTTACGCTTCGCTGAAACCATTGACGTGCAGTATCCTCATCTGTTTGACGATCGTGCTTTTGCCGGACTCCCCCGCTCCTGAAACAGGTGGCGAAAATCGTACATCGTTAATTCCTTCCTCGTCTTTCTGTCGGTTTTGCCGGGGATTCCTCGCCGGCTCCGCGACATTTGCGCGCGCGATGACACGCGTGTAAGAATAATATACATACGATATATCTCATTGGCCGCGAAATCGAAATTTCGCCAACCGTGATATTATCGATCGTACGTGCGATAACGTAATCGGCGCGTCACGAGTTCACACATCGCGAACGCGACGAGAAACGCGCCATTTTTGCGTTGAGTGTATAAATCTATTTCTATTGAAATTTCATCTGAAACGAATCGAGAGCCTCTCTCCGAATGTGACGTATGACGCACAAAATCGTCACTTGAATCGCGGTTTATTTAAACCCTTTGTCCCGTTTTTCGACGATTGACAGCGCAAATAAAATTCGAGGCTTTGTAACTTTTGCAATTTAACGTATATATTACATACATTATATAACAATAATTATTTTGTATTCCTAGTACGACTGCTGTTATTACGTTTCACTCTTTTTTTATATAGGACACTCGCGCGTTACTTTTCAACGTTAATATCCTCGGCGCTTAACCCGTCAAATTCTCATTAAGAACACACTTCCACCGCAAATCAAGCGAAAGAAGAAGTTGGCAAGTTTAATCTCAGAACTCTTCCAGTTTTCAACATTAATTACCCGACTGATTACAAACTCGATTAAAAAGAAAAATGAGAAAATTAAAGGAGAAGAAATTGTATAAATATTATAAGAGAGGAGCAAAACGTTGCTATCAAAGTTGAGTGTCCATACAATTAGATGTTTAATTTTATACGTAAAACCGATTATATGCTTATGTATATATGTTTATATATGCATATTCCATCGATGTAAACAGGATATATTTATAAAAATCTCCTCTCTCTCTCCTTCCATTTCAGATTTTTATATGTTTTTGAAAAGAAGTCAATTTTTTACATCTTTAACATCTTTCTACCGCTGTTTGATAATCTATCAATTCCAACTTTTAAGCTTCTTCTAAAACTTTCATGGCCGAATCGCATGTGCAACAACACCAGAGGCCGATCGACCGCGTGTTTCGCACGGCTGTAATGACACGCGAGGGGAGGGAAAACAATACGGCAACAGCTGTTGCTTCGTCCGTCTCTCGCGTCGCGCCACGCCGCGACGACGAGGACACGACAGCGACGATGATGACGATGACGACGCATTCGCATCGAATTAGAACGACGACCTACATAAACGCCGGATAATAGGAAAGCGATATGACGGGGCGCCGGGTTAAACAGAAGCACGCCGTGTCGCGCACGCGTGTATCGGTATCGAGAGAGAGTTAGAGAGAAAGAGGAGAGAGACGGGAAGGAAATAGAGAGTGATCTGAGAGAAAAGAATTTTCATAGTTTATAGAAATCAAAAACAATCTAGAATAAGGTAAATTTTTTAAATATATATATATATATGTATATATGTGTGTATGTTCAAAAATAATCGTAGCATCAAACATTCGCATCGACAATCAAGTTCTTGTCAATGAAATAAATTATGAGAATATTCGTACAAATTTTACTTAACTGTTTATAAAAATTAATAGACAGAAGAGAGAAAAAAGGGATACTTATTTTGCCTCGTAACAATTTTTTAGAAGATAGCTTCTCTCGAAAATAATACAAAACGAAGTAATTGACAATTTTTGATATAAGAACAAAATGTTGGAATTAAAAAAAGCACGAGACAAGAAAGAATGGAAGAAAGAGGAAAGAGAAGATATATATATATATATATATAATGAAAGAGACGAGGGTCGGGAGCGACGAAAAGGGTACAAACACGAGGCTAGTGGATATTGGTGGGTGCCTGCCTGCTCATACGATAATCGATAAAATTGAATCACGCGCCGCTGAACATCACGATAGTGCGGCCGGCTTGCCCTCGGCCTCGGTGGAGGTTCTCTTTGTCCGAAACCGATGATCGCCGGCCATCGGGGCCCTCCCGCGTTTAACGCGTCACGGTTCACCAACGCGATCGCCGCGCGACGAATGGAGAACACCCGGGGAATTATCTTCGGGGCGCACGAGTCATATTTAAACGAACGAGTACTCTTCAATATTTATAAAAAAAAGATCTTGACACTCTCTGTGAGTCTCGTAAGATAGAAGACGTCATTAGATTCGACACGAAAAGTGCTAGCGATATTGATTACGCTTGTCTCTTTACCCCGCTCTCGATATTTAAACGCGCGTTTAATTTCCTTGTATCAAATTAATTGTAAGAAATTAATTTAACTGGGTTAATTAATTTACGCGCGATGGAGAATGTTTGTCGCGTGCGATTGCTGAACCTAGTAAAATACTTAATAAATATATTCATTCGACGAAACTACCGGAAGCTATCAAGACCCACCGTTGACAGAAATATTTCCCGCCTCTCGTTATCGAGTTGTGTAAAGGAAAAAAAAGAAAAAAAGAAAATTATTACTTATGACTCACCGAGCAAGAGTAACCTGTGAGTGGCCCGATAAACCTGCTTATCCTTTTGCAACTGCCTGGTGATGGCGTCGGATCGCCTCTTCTGATTTTTGCTGTCATCCTGGCTGGCCTTGCTGCTCTGGCTACCGAAACACCCCATGACACACCACGGGAAGGACACGCGTGGCTCGCCCTCTTCGTTTTTCCCTTCCACGTCTAGCGATCCGTGCCCGTTACCTTCTCGGGTCGCGTTGGCGACGGCGTTGGCGACGGCGTTGGCGGCGGCGTCGGCGGCGGCGGCGGTGATGGTGGTGCCGGCGGCGGCGTCGGTGACGGCGTCGGTGACGGCGTTGACCGTGAAGGAGGACGATCGGGATCCGGATCGGGACGGACGACGACGGCCCGCGATCGAGTTAGTCGCGAGGGCGACCGTGCGACCGGCGCCGACGTCCGCGGCGTCGTCGTCGTCGTTGTCGTCGTTGTTTACAACCCCACCGTCGCGAGTCGGTCGCGGTTCAAAAAGCGTCCCGTGTCCCGCCGCGGTAAGCTCGCTCCGGTTCCGCGAGTCCCGCCGTCCGCCGTCCTCCGGTTCCGCCGTTCCGTTCGTCTCGCTCGCTCCTTCGCTCTATCGGGTGTCTCGTTCGCACGCACGCGCGCGCGCGCTACGTCCTCCGCTCGCCACCACGGCCGATTGACGTCCCTCTCGCTCGCTGGCGCTCTCTCTCTCTCTCTCTCTCCACGGCCGGCGATGGATTCTTCCTCGTTCCTGTCAAAGGGAACCTCGTCTCGCTCTATTTCTCCCTGCGTTTCTTCCCTTCGTTCCTCTTGTTTCCTTTCTTAATCCCTTCGGCGACGATAGATGGACGACGACGACGATGGACGACGACGACGATGGACAGCGACGACGAATAGCGGCAACGAACACCCCCGCCGTCCGCCGTCCTCCGGTTCCGCCGTTCCGTTCGTCTCGCTCGCTCCTTCGCTCTATCGGGTGTCTCGTTCGCACGCACGCGCGCGCGCGCTACGTCCTCCGCTCGCCACCACGGCCGATTGACGTCCCTCTCGCTCGCTGGCGCTCTCTCTCTCTCTCTCTCTCCACGGCCGGCGATGGATTCTTCCTCGTTCCTGTCAAAGGGAACCTCGTCTCGCTCTATTTCTCCCTGCGTTTCTTCCCTTCGTTCCTCTTGTTTCCTTTCTTAATCCCTTCGGCGACGATAGATGGACGACGACGACGATGGACGACGACGACGATGGACAGCGACGACGAATAGCGGCAACGAACCCCGCTCTTCGCGCTGCTTGTCTCGTTTCTCGCGTATACCCGATGCGCGTATTTCACGGAGCGACACTCACGAGCACACTTCACGGCTACCTCTATCACTGGCGGCCTCCACTACCCGCGAAACCATCATAACTATCACACACCATCAGCTCGGCGCTCCGCTCGCCGGGCGACTGAGAGAGCCCCGTGCCCCGTGTTGCGCTTCTCTCTCTCTCTCTCTCTCTCTCTTTCTCTCCCTTCCTCTCTCACGCTGTATGCGTGCCACCACCTCTTTCGCTCGCGCTTACGCTCGATGAAAGAGAGAGAGAGCGCGAGGAGACGGTGCTGTAAACGTCGGCGGGATGTCGATGACGGTCGGCGACGGTGACGATACGATGACGACGATGACGGCGCACGCCGCGACCGACGTCGATGGCGACCGGGACCGACGTTCCCGTCGCCGGGCTATTTTCCAAGACGGCGATACGAAGGCGCGCGTGACACACGCTCTATCCGGCGAGAGATGGGCGAACGTAATAACGACGACGGCGACGATGACGACCAAATATCGGGAGTTACTTACACCACCGACGAATCTCCGTTTCGTTTGTGCGAGATAGACAGCGACACCGGTGTACACTCTTACGCACGTCGGAAAAGCACACGGAAAACAAATCGGGAAAACATATACGTCGGCACTGTCTCTCTGTCGTTGATCGCGCGAGGCGGCACGTCGTTATCTATCTATCTATCTCTCTTTCGCCGCGACGTCTCCGACGATGCGGCCGGCGCGAGAGTCAGCAGGAGAACGAGAGAGAGAGAGAGAGAGAGGGTATGTGTGTAAGATTGAGCGAGTGAGACAGATATGTACACGCGAATTCGATTTGATGGGTTGGCGCGTGTTGTAAAACACACGAGGAACGATTGTACGACTTTGCCTCCTCGAATCGGTGATTCCCCGTTTCGCCGATATGGAGCGATGCCGACGATGAAGGCGTTAAAATAGATCGAATCCACCTCTACGGAACACTCGTTCCCGAATCGGTTCACCAAACGGTAGTCGATCGGCGCGACCTGGCCAAAGACGTTTTACGCGCTCTTGTGTTGGCTACCCGATCTCTCGCCGGCGCGAACGGCTGCCTCCACCTCCTTGCTTTTGTATAGATCCTGTCCACGGAAAAGAAGGTGTCTTTTCACGTCCGCGCGACGATTGTCCGCGGACGTTCTCCGGAGGACTTGTCTCTCTCTCTCTCTCCCTCTCACAGCGCCTCCTTCCTCAGCGACCGTCGCAGGCTCCTCGCTTTTTCGAGGGCTCGCTGCTCTCCGGTGTCCCCTTCCTGCCTCCTCTTCTTCCAACACTGTCGTCTCCTCCGCCCTCTTCTATCCCGGCGCCACTCCTCTTCCTCCTCCTTTGCCGCCGCGAGCTCCTTGTCGACGATCACGGCACGGTAAACAGCAGCAACAGCAGTAGCAGCACTCGGGGAACCCGCACCCTCGCGTGCCTTCTCTAGCCCCGCTTTTACACATACACACCCTCTTATGAGAGAGATATCGCGCCCTCGCCGCGGCCTCTCTCGCCACTCGCGCTTCCCCGAACCGAGTTCGCGTACGACTCTCCCTCACTCAAGTATCCCCGAGGAAACTCGCGACCGAAACGTTCGAGACGAGGTGCTCCCTGCAGCCAACATGTCGTCTGCTAGACGACCACCAGAGCAGCGGCTCATCGCGCTACACACGGCCCCAGGTTCGTACTCGGAGCTCGAGATGCCCCCTATCCCGCACCCCCTCCCCCTCTTCACCTCATAAATGTTATGACATTAGTGTTACTGTCGACTACGAAAAATTTGACATTTGTGATAGGCGAAATTTGACAGTACACGTATGCGATTGTATTTTCGTATATATATATATATATATATATATTACGTAGAAAGATATCGCCTACACATAGATGTGAATTATCGTTATTTACGCGCAAACATGTCCAACATCGATATCGTCGCAGTAGTTGTAAGCGATACTCGTCGGTCCAGCGGAGCGAGTAGGTGTTAATAAACGCGCGACACTCTCCTGCTTTTATCTGCCTCTCATTAAACGCTGGCGCACGATGACTCGCGCTTAATTGCGCGAGTCTACTCAAATTGTTCGCATCATCATTAGGGCGGCCGGGCAATTACTCGGGGAGATCGTTAACCGCGCCTATATACCGGGCCCCGATCTCCGAACGCGTTTCTGGCCTGCATCTTCGGCACATTTTTTTCGACGTTCGAACCCGACATTCTGGATATTCCCAGGGTGTATATCCTTTCAAAGATGACGAATCATCATCGTGCCGATCGCCACCAGAACTGCTTACAGCGTGATTCACGCACACGTTCGTCGCTTTCCCCCC